ATGAGGCGTCTATGTATTAATGTCTATGAGCTGGACGGCCTCTGGTGATTGACTGGAGCACATTGCATCATGGAACTTGTAGTTTTCTTAACAGAGCCGGTAAAGCTTTATGTTGTTGACTCATTTATCAGTGAAGAATCAAAGATCCAGATTTGGAGCCCAGCTATGAAGATAAAGACAGAAAATCCCGGCAGCTTAAAGAATTTCTTAGGCATAGACGGTGAAACTAGTCCGGTACCGATGGACCCGAACTGATCCGAAGCCAATAAAACAAAGCTTGTAGGAGTATAATTTGCTTGCTATTAGTAACAGAATCTGACCAACAAACTGAGGGTTGACCCGGATCGGACTCAATTAGTCTCAGATTTATTCCAAAAACAACACCAAAATGGAGCTTTAGAGCCGAACCGGACCGCAGCAGCAGAATTCACGGTACCAGTTTCAAATCAGTTCAACATTAATTGGTTTAAATCCAGTTCAGACGTCATTTTCTGGGTCACTGTCAACAGATCTCAATCAAATTACGGATCGGTTCTGACTCAGAACATAGCGGGATCAGCCGAGCTAACAGCTAACAGGCTAACTAGTTGCTCCGGCTCCGAACCGACATCCGGACCCTCCCCCCCGCCGCGGTTCGGTGAGTTCGCTCGGTGTCACCTGGATGAGCTCGTCCAGACTCTCCTGGAGGCTGTTCCCGAGCGTGGTGTTCCGGTACAGCTGGTAGGCCATGGTTCCCTGGTTCTGACTGCACTAAACCGAACCTCACAGAACTAGCTAGCTGCTACATCCACCGCTAACTAGCTTCCGCCTAAACCTTTCACAATAAAAGCAGTTGAAACAAAGCTGTTCGATCCGAGCATTTCAATATAAAACCGGAACCTGAGCAGGTAAATTCAGCAACTTTTTCCAGTAGTTTGGAGGATCTTATTGGTCCTGGATCCGCTGGAGGTTCGGTGGTTTTTATATCTGTGAGGACATTTCATTTTATGCCTTCATGAAAAAAATAAAATAAAAGTAAAATAAAATTATATAATATTGTGCTGCTGGGATCCGCCGGTAGGTGGCAGTACAACACAGGCCAGTTATTTCCAGTTTGCCGCTCTGGTCCTCTGTTGGGTGTGAACTGGATGTGATGAGAAAAAGGCAACAAACCGAGAGGAGCTAAAATATGAGAAAAACCAGAAAAAATGATCAGCTCAGATCAGAAATTATGTATTTCTGAGGAAATTTGTGAAAAAATGATTTATTTATTTTTTTTACTTTAATTTTCTAGTTCAGCTTAAATCCAAAGAAAAACCTTCAAACTGAAATGAATTTCATGGAAATGTATCATAAACATTTTATAAATCTGATGGATCTAATCTCTGCTGCTTTAAGGTTATTTTCTTAATTTTAATTTCTCTAAAAGCCTCATTCGCTGAGCGGATGGATGATAATCAGGAAACGGACTGAGGGAAGGTTTTCCTCTCTGCTCCGTCACGCAGCTTCTTGTCAGAGCATGGGCCCGCAGGTGGAGGTCTGGTTCTGGTTTTTGTTCTGCTGGGAGCCGACTGTGTGTGATGGACGCGTGCTGATGGACGGATCTGTTTCAGCAGCCACTACTCTGACCTTTGACCCCCAGAGGCACAAGGAGACAGAGAGCGGCTGTCAGGCAGAACGATTATAAATGATGCAAACATTCATCTGAACTCTGGTCCGGAACCAGACCCGATCCGACCCGGGTTGCTGCAGAGACACAGCATGAAGACATCACCACAAGCAGCAGTTCCTGAACCCTTCATCTCACCTGGAAGGAAGGTGGTTACCATGGAGACAGAGACAGGAGGAAGCCGAGGAGGCAGCAGCTGTTTCTGCGGTTGGAGGTTGAAACCTTTCCATCAGAATTCGTTCTGATGAATCGGCAGCTGTGCACGTCTCTCACTCTGCCTGCAGAAATGATGCAGGTTTTCCTCCACAGCACTTTCTGACCTAGTCAGTCATCCAGCGGCCCACCGTGTATGAGCTAAAAATATGACTAGACATCACTAGACATGTTCTAATGTGTCCCAACGAACAGGAACATCAGCCCTCAAGGTTTCTCTTCAACCTTCCTGCTCGGAGCAGGCTGGTCCAGCAGCCATGCCCTCCTCTTCCTCCTCTTCCTCCTCGTTTGATTTATTCTGGTTCTGATGATCAGGAACTGTTTCCTCTCTCAGGTCTGGTTCTGGTCTCTCAGGTGTAGATCTGGTTCTGCTATGTCCCAGTAAGGCTGGCTCTCCTGGTGTGTGTGTGTGTGTGTGTGTGTGTGTGTGTGTGTGTGTGTGTGCAGACAGAGCTTCCTCACAGGAAGACAAACAGTTCATGCTGGGAGGGATTTCAGCGGATTACTCCTGTAATCTGTCCGCGCTCTGATGTCTGGGTAAACATGGACGCTCTCATTAGTAGCATTAGAGCTAATTAGCTGTCGCTAATCTGCAGTCAAACATGGACCTTCATCCAGCTGAGTGATGCATTCAGGAACTCCATCTCACGTCGGAAACATCAGTTTCTTGAACTTCTACAGACTCAGTGTGTAGTTTTCATAAATTTCTTCAGAAGCTTTTCAGAGGAACGTTTCCTGTGAACCCAAAGAAGAGTCAGAACTCACCAGGATGTTCCTGTTTCTGTCTGACATGTTCGGATCAGGATCGTAGGAGCTGCCGTTTGTAAACGCCACACTCAAAACTGATCAGCATTACTTTGGATTATTAAGCTTGTCATAAGAGAATAATTAGTTAGCCAGCTAATTATTTATCTCCAAGGCAAATAGTTAGCTCACTGCGATGGACAGGTGACCCGTCCAGGTGACCCACTCAGGTGACCCCGCTGGAGTCAGGCACCATCGTCTCTCATGACTCCATTAGGGATAAGATAATGGATGGATGGAAGTAGTTAGCGCAGAGCTAATTAAATATTAAGCTACTTAGCAACCTGAATATTTATCTCCAGAATATTTAACTCAAATATATTTTGATTAGCTCAATATTTAGCTTCAAACATTGTTAGGTCTGATGTAGGTAAACTGCTGTATTTATAAATTAATGAATAACATGGTGAAAATATGACTGAGAATTAACCCTAATTTTTTTCCTCTTGCATGAAATAAGCTAAATTATTGCTGTAACGTTGCATCCTGCCGATCCGACCAGCTGCAGCTCTTCTTCTCCTCTGACAGGAAGTGGACTTCCTGCCAGTTGGTTCTTCCTCCACCAGATGACCGACCTCTTCTCGCTTCTCGCAGCGTTTTATGAAGATAATCAGACTCATCAATCTGAGGGAAACGGCCCCCAAAACTAATGAGAGCAGAGCTGCTGCTGCTGCCATTAATCTCAGCTCTGCTCCTCCATCACGGGTCGCCCGACCCAAACCTGAGGTCTGCAGGTTCTGATCAGTTAAAAAGCTGGACTCATTCTCATTCAGACCAACAGCCAATCAAAATGCAGCTTCAACCTCCAGAAAAAAACCTGAGAGTTTAAGTAGAAATAGAAAAACATAATAATCTCTGGAAAACCATCAGAACCAGAACCAGCTTTGGCTGAGTTCAGACAATCAGTCTGAACTCACAGCCTGCAGACATTAATGATAAATATATAAAATCTTTAGAGGAAATTAAATAAGAGTAAAGGAACAGTATCTAAATGTCTCTAAGTTTTGTTTTAACAGATAAAGAAACGAGTTAACCAACTGTCTCTGTAGCGCCCCCTGGAGGTCAAAGTCTGAAAAGACTGTGTCCGGGATGTGTGGGGTCTGCAGAGGTAGCTGACCTCTCCTGACCTCTGACCTGGAGGAAGAGAAGGTCACCCCTGAAGGAGCTCTCTGCAGAGTGGATCTGGACCGGTCCGGTTCTGTGGGAGATCCAAACCAGCCTTAGGGTTGGGGGGACATTTATTAAGTGTGGGATGTAATTATTGTTGAAAAGTGAATAAAAGTGATAAAAATGTTTCCTTTTTAGCTGCATCGTCTGTGGACTCAGGAGAAAATGATGTTATTTGTAGTTATGATTTCTGCTCTTTTATTTATTTACACTCTAAAAAGAAATTAGTTGAACAACTTAATTGAATTGCTTCAATTAGTAACAAGCAATTCAGTGAAGTTTATCCAACTTAATTTATTAAGTTTAACCAATTTAATATATTATAATCATCCAACTCAATTTGTTAATTTTTTTAAACAAATTTATTAAGTATGTTTAAGATGACAAATCTAAGTCAGTCTTACTCAAATCATTTAGTTTACTTCAAATAAAGAAGTAAATTAATAAAGGATCTCTTTTTTCAAAGGGTTTTTGGCTGAGGCAGCCTTTATTTGAACGTAGTTACTCAGGAAAGTGGTCAGTGACAGAGAGGAAGACCTGCAGCTAAGGTCATCAGGTTGGGCATCAAACCTGTGAAGGCCGTGTCAAGGACTGAGTCCTCCTTATGTGGATTGTGCTCTGCACCCTGGTTGGTACAGAATCTGTCCCTGGTGAGCTTGAGTCATGGTGTCAGACGTGGGATACAAATATGGTATCAAACTTAATTATTTCAAGTAAAGTCAAAGTAAAAAGATCCTTTAAGGAAAAGAGATGTAACTTTTAAGTTAGAGTGTATTTAGAGAACACTGTAAAAAGAGTATTAGGCTCAAACTAAGAACTTATAAAATATTTAGGAGGAACTACTTAAAAGTTTGAGTTGACTTTCTGTAGAATTAAGTCAAAGAGATTTTAAATGTTTATTAGAACAAAATAAATGATGTGAGTGTGACTTAAATTTGTCGCCCTTGTGAATTAAATTATAAAAACTTAGCAAATTGAGATGGAAGGACTTAATGAATTGAGTTGGTCAGACATAAGATATGAAACTGGCAT